AGAACGCCAATAGTAAATTAAAGGAGCAATCACTCACGCTCATTGCATATTCGAAATGTACTCTGTCTGCTACTTTGCTTACACTAGTACAGCGTTTGATATATGAAATCAGCTATGCAATGCATTGTATGCTTAAAATATCGATCGATCAATATGAATGAACGATTAAGATGTGCTATTATGGTAAGCGATGGTTTTTCAATCTCACTCACTAATTTAATGCCAAATTTAACTTTCAACTCTAAACATCGGGAAGAGGCAAACATGTCCGTGTTTCTGGCGAAATTTACGTAAGATTTGCGATTTGAAGTTGAACTAAGAGTAATTTGTAAAACTCACTTTTACATCCGTTTACGTATCTCCGGATTGAGCAATAGAATCGCGAAGATATTATCTTCTATGAAGCAATTTCACTTATTAGCCAAGAGTCAAGAGAATGGGAATAGCTTTTCCGACATTCATTTACAAATTTTTTAACACTCACTTACGCAATCTTTTTTTTCAAAAGAGTAAGTTCAAGGGTTTTCCCATAAATAATTTTCTGCCATAAGAATTTCTTTTCTCACAAAACCGCAAGATGAGGTTTCGCTTTTCTCAAATCATGCACCATCAGGTAAAATAATAACAAGTATAAAGTTTTCTTAAAGAAGAAAATAAAAAAAAATAAAAATAATTTAAGAAAAAAAATTCTCTTGCACACGCCGCACATACAAAATTTTTGTAATTTACTGCCGCCACCAGAAGTTCGTTCAAAGTTGTTGTTTTCTTATTTAGCACACTAAACACTTGCATACAATTTTTTCCCCTTTGTTTTCTTTTTCTTTATTTTTTTTTTATTTTTTTTTTATTTTTTTTTTTTTGTAACGTGTTCAACTCTAACATTCATTAAATGGAAAAAAAAACAAATAAATAAATGAATAAAAATAAAGAGAAAAACTAAACTCTTGTTAAACCCTGAGGCATATTTTTTCGTTTACTTGCTGGATATGTAAGGGGCTGTAAGGGGCTACTTTTTGTTTTTTTTGTTTTTTTTTGGAAAATTCCTTGAACGCTTACGTGTTTTGCATTTTATACAAAAACAATTTTAACATCATTCAGCTGCATTACTATGCACACAGGTGCATATAATGCAACAACATGCCCATGTACTGCCGGTTGTATTGCGTATCATGGCGTTGCGGTGCATGAGAATGTTTTACAAATACACGCTTATATGCACCGCATCCATCCAATTACAATATATATATATATATATATATATATATATAAGTTTTCTGTGTGTTTAGATAAAAGCAGACTAGATGAGTAAATGGAATGGTGGCTGCTGGCTGAAGAGCGGAGAGGGGTGGAGCGGAATGCGGAGCGCGGTGCACGGTGCACGGTGCACGGTGCGCGGAGAATAGGACGGCCTCCCATTTCGTGTCTTTCTTTATGCTCTCATACACCATCCTTTACTGTTATTGAAAATGATTTTTTAATGTGACATTGAAGTTGTTTCTGTTATTCCGTTGTTTGATGTATTCGTTGTTGATGGTGATGCTGTGTTAAAGGATTTTTTTTTTTTTTTTTTCTTTTTTTAAGGGAACAAATATTTGTATTCTTTTAAAAACGTTGTTTGAGAGGAAAAATGGGAATGGAATTAATTGAAATAAAAACAAGCTAACGAAATAATAGGTGCGAAGGAAAGTGATATCGTTCTTTTCTGTTGTAAGCAATAGATTTCCCCATAAAGTATTATCAAAATTTCTACTTAAGCAAGATTTTATTCCTTCGTTAGCACTGTCGATCGGAAGAAGAGTAAGCGCTTGGCCGCACCATACTGTGTATATTTACGCCTATGCTTTATACGCCTACGCTTTAGGCTGAGAACAAGATGAGGAGCCCTATTGACAGAGAACGGGAGGCGATTCTATTCTCAATTCTTAAGCTACCGGCCATATTACTGAGGCCAGTCCAAGATTAGCAATCATATGATCGCCTTGTTGATTATAAAACAGTGAACAAAGGGAATTTGCCGCATCTGAAGACAAGGACTTTCTTGAAAGTTATGAAACGCATACAGCTCACAGTTCATTGCAATCGTTCATCGAAACTAAAAAACAATGCTTAAAAGATGATTCCACGGAGGCGCTTATTGATTGAACTATTAAACGATAATCTATGTACCGTGGCGGACAAAATCTATGAAATCCTACGGTAACTAGAATCGCTTATAAGGCTTGTGCCAAATAATCGGCTAAGAAAAATTAAACTCTAGGCAATCTAATGAATAGCTGAGGGCTTGTATGGTAAAAGACAATAAATTCCTTAGAATTAGCAAAAGTCATGAAGAGTTAATGCAGACCTCAGCGAAAGACTTTATTGAACGCAAAAATGACTTAATAATAAAACTAACGCAGATGTATATATATTTCAATTGTTTCCATGATATCGATGATATAGTTGCTCCCCAACCTGAAATCGTAAGTTTTAAGGTACAAAATAAATTATCTTATAAGTGATTTATGGCAAAGACAGAAAACTGTCTGTCGAGCTAAAGTTAACAAAAAAAAAAAAAAAAAAAGAGAAGAAAAAGAAGAGAACACGAACACGAAACTGTCAATTAGTTGAAAGAAACGCTAGAGAGAAACATAATTCGCATAAAGAGTAATCGCAAACGTAAAGCAGTAAA